ATAAATACTTACGATCAGACTGTGGAATAAGTGGAATAAATTTGCTGAATACACTCTTTGTTATTGATGGGCTGGACACGAAACACGAATAATTGCCCTTATCTGATGCTTCTACATTTGCAATGTAGAGATTGCCGTTTGTCTGTGACACAAATCGTCGTTTGTCCAAAGCAATGAATACTGGGAACTCATTTAGAAGCCACCGATAACTGAGGTCATCTGGAGGAAAATATTCTCTAGTCAATATTAAAAACCAATACTATCAACTACTTAAGCCATGGAACACTGGCTGAATATGAATTACTTCACCCTGATGTCTAGCTTATGGATCTTTCCTTTGGGAGAGGCAGTTATGTGGGAGAGAACATACATACATGTCTCAGTAGGAGCTAATACCCATCTACACTGAACATAGGAGTACAGCTGCCATGAGTGCAGATTACTAGATACCCACCTCCCCTTGGGCACAGCCTTCCCATAGGAACCAGAGTGGAATGGGAGAAAGTGGGCAGCTGGGTCTTTATATCATACAACTGAGAAGCTGGGAAGCCCTCACCAGCCTTGCAATTTAGACAGAACCTTAGAATATTTTAACCAGCAATATGTCTCAGTTCTTAAATTCCTTGCAATACTTACACACAGAGCATGAAAACTAAAACATTATCCTATTTCACATGGTAAAAGAGACGCTAACATCAGAATTCAGCCCTCTGAATGGAACCTCATATACTTGAGCTTACAGGCATAATCCCTGCAGAATTCTTCAATAGGCAATGATGAGAAAAAGGCACTTCTAGAGCATAATTAACCTCATCTGGTGCCTACTGCTGTTCCATGACTTTAACAGGAATCCATGATCATTTCTGTTGAGGTGATTTCATCAGGTGGAATGAAACTAGGCCCTGTCCAAGGCCAGCAGAAAGTGTGGGATGACAGAGTGACAGAGTGACATGTACTCAGGTCTTTTGAATGGTAGAACAAGTCTCCCCTCCATTATCCAGATTAGTTTGAGTAATTTAGGTACCAAAACCTATTTGCAAATTGAATAATATCTTTTACATCTGGTCAACTATAGGCACATATACAAAATGGAAACCGAACCTAAACAGTGATTCTCAAGCTGCATAAAAGTTGCTGTTTAAGTAAAATTAGAAGAAACTTTCAAAAATAAATATTTATTTCTCTTTCACTCTTAAGTAGTTGACAATGAAGCACTTTATGCTTAATTACCTGGGTAGTGGTAAGGAGGCTCACAAAGAAGCACTGCTCCAACACCTTCTCGCACTTTAACCTCATAGCGTTCCTCAGGTGGAAAGGGATCCAGATCTAGTTTAAAAGAAATGGGGAGAAAAAAAATGGGGGTTTAATACAAGAAATTTTCTTTATTATTATTTTCAGCCCTGTAGACATTAGCACAGAAATACAAGAACATATGGTAGATAGATACTTGTGGACCCATAATGCCAGTTTTGTTCATTTTGACTTCGTCATTATGAAGTGCAATGAAGTTTTTACAGTATTTTAATCATCATAATCATCAATGCCAGAAAAAAATGCTGGAGCAGATTGTATCCCTAAGAATAGCCAAGTGAGCTACATTTGAAGAAGGAATCCCAAGAAGAGAAAGGAAAAGCTTTTTTTCTTTTAATTGGTTTCTCAAAAAATGCAAGTTTAATTCTTTAATGTAACTTAAAGCAGCTTCTCTGAAATGGCCTGGCTGCCCTTCCTGACAACCCCAGCAGCCAAGGACTGCTAAGCAGCTAGCTCAGACACATCTTTTGTGCCACAAGTTTGAGACATAAGTGACTCAGACCCCAGGAGAAACCTTAGCTGACCCCCTTCAAACCAACTTCCACACAGCAGGGTAAAGAGACTGGGTAAAATTACAAAGAAACAAGTCCTTCATGGAGCTACACATCATCCTACAGACTGTGGGAGAATAGTAATGGTATTTGCAGTGATAAGACAACAGTTGCAACAGGGTCAATAATGGCACTTTGCTTCTTCCTTTCACTCATTTAGTGTAACCAGCCTGAAATTAAACTATTAGCATCTTGAGGCAGGGAAGCTTCTCTTGTGAAGCTTCTCCATGTCACCAAATGCAGCAAGGTTGTAGAGATCACAACTGGAGTCCTGCTTTAAATGCTACTGTGGTGCAAATAATATGCGTAACAGTCAAATGCACAGCCTCTGAATGCAATATTCTAGCACAGAAATCATCTAAACTAACTTCATTCAGATTACTTCAGCTTTCTTCAATAGTAGGCAGCTACCCAGTCCTACTAAATTCCCAATGCTGGCTCTGAAATCTAACTAAAACTTAAGTCCAAGAGCAGCCAGCCAGAAACAATAAAGAAAAAATCAGGCCAGAGCGGCATACTAGAAGACATTAAGAAAACAGAGACTATTCACTACTGTAAAATGCAATGTATAGTTAGATGGATCCAGTAGACACTCTGCATTATCTAAAAATAATTAATTCCTTAACTTCAAAACAGCTGCTACATTTACTAAACATGGTACATATGAAGGATTCCTCCAAAGCCAACCACAGCTGTCAGACCTGAATGACTACAAGAGTCTAGGAAGCAAATGTCATTAAGCATGAAAAAAACTCTAGGAGAAATATGTTCAGGGAAAGACGCCTCTTCCAACTTCTGAAATGTTTAGTAGTTCTGAAACTACTAATGTTTATTCTGCTCAAACAGACCAGTAGATAACACAGATCTTTTCAGTGATTGACTGGATCTTGACTGGATCAATGCCTAAATGGTAGGCACTCTAAGATGCCTAATGGTAGGCCACTCTAAGGCTGCCTCTAAGGACTTCTGATTATTATTTCATTTATTATTACCCTGTGCCCTAGTGCAATGATGGTATTCAGCTCTCCACAACTAGCTCCCAATTAATTTCGGATATTAATCTTTGATAAAAATGAAATAAAGTTTACCATACAGATTTAGAAAGAATTAACTATTTGACTAGACAGGATTTGAACTGTAAGCCAAGGGAGCTCTTCACACAGATTGGAATACCTCTATTCATATAATATCTCCACTTGAGTATATTCCCATTCATTTCCCAGCATGGACCTTACTACACAATTACTTTGTATCTTCAAAATATTGACTGATCTCCTCCTAAAACATCAATTTCCTTGTTTCAGATCTTTTGATCATCTTATATACTTGTCACACTTATTCCATTTTGCTTTCTTTGGAACAGATTAGTGCCTCAAATCTCTTGCTGAAATAGGAAGAAATAAAAATTACAATCATTAGCAAAAAATGTGTTTCTTATTTGATACTGCTTTGCATATGCATGGTGTAGGGTTTGATGAAAGGAAAACCTATCGTTCATTGCTTTTAAGTTATTTTAGCTATTTTAAAGTATAGACATTTTGTTTATAGTATTCTTGAATAACTTCTGAATATTTAGGACGACCACCACAAATTTATATACATGGAAACAGATAGGCAATTTGTGTATGTAAAACATTATGTTAGTCCTGAAATAAAATAGTCTATACCAGGTGCAGGCAAGTCATCCAATTATTAAGATGAAACTGTATACTTTTCTCCCACTTACGAAATGCTCTGTATCTGACTGGGTCTTGATATTTTCTTTGCATAAGCACTATTTAGTTATTACTCAATAATTATAATGTGTGATCCCATGAGCTCTTAATAGGAAGAAATTAATTTTTAGCTAGAATGAAAGAATTAGCATAATCACTCTACTCCTCTAAGCATACAAGTAATAACTAAAGAGTATGGAAATTTCTCTTCCTTGTCATTCTTGCAGCCTCTCTGCTATGAAATTGCTGTGTTTGACTATTTTGAAACTGCTTCACAGCAAATAGAACAGTGAATCACCTCTGATTTTGCTCAGCACACACCAAAAAGTCACTAAATACTCCTGCAGGATAAAATCCCTTCCTTCAGGAGGATGTGTGTAACAGTTAAAAAAAATATAACATATTTTAAAGAACTGGATCTGAAAAGATCCAGCTCTACTAGAAACAGTGTTCTCAGCATTAAAAGCCACATAAGTCTTTGTGAACAGTCACTGGTAAGAGAGGGTTCCTTTTTTTGTGGATTCCTATTTTTGTTCTCAGATGAAAAAATACATTGAGGAAAAAAAGCATCTTAAGGCAAAATAAAATAAAAATCCCAAACACTGTGTTCAGTCAGCAAATTTTACATTACTCTTCATGTAGTACATCAGTGTTTTACGATGCATGTATCTGTTGACAGTGCAGCTCTGTGCATATGCATGCATTCATAAGACTGGTTCATGACTGTCAGAAGCTGACAGAAATGTCCCCCAGCAGGGTCTTCATCGCAGCCTAGGAGTCAGGGAGCATGCTTTATAGCAAGTGCCATGCCTTCCTCCTGCAGGCATCCCAATTGTGTTTGCACTGCAGAAGCACCTCATCATCATATGCCCCCACTTGCATCTTTCCTCTGTGACTATTTGTCCTCAGTTCCTACCATGATTTAAAGACAGTCTGGGCATTATTATCTCAAGATCTGGTTCCCTGGGTCTCTTCAATTATTAATTTAACAGTAACTCACTGAGAAGGATGTTGTGTCAGCTGAATGCTAAAGAATATAAAATGCTTACAAAACTTATTATGTGTTGATCTCTGCAGACCAAGGCACTTAACATATTGTTTTTACAGAATAATACATCTATAGCATATGTTAGCAGAAGGCAATGCAGTTTCTATGTTTTAACATAAACATCAACTTACATCCAAAACTCAGAGTGGCTTCACTGCTTCTGACAGTTCCAAAGATATTTGATACTACACAGACATATTTTCCAGCATCCCTTGATTTCTCTGGATTATTGATAATAAGTCTGCCTCCCACCATACTGTAGCGATCCTTTGTTAAATCTATGTCCCAGTTGTTGAGTTTCCACCTATTAAAAAAAGAAAAGCCAGATGTAAGGTTGGCTCCAAGCCTGGTGAGAAACAGAATTTGAAAAATAACTCATAGATTGTGATAAGCTATACAGGAAGGTATGAATATACTTCTATATATGTTTCATGTTTTCCTTCATCAAGAGCCACAGATTTGAACTCCATAGATCTTTTAAATATAACAGTCTCAGACTGCTTTAGCCTTCTCAGAGATGTGACATAGGTTAAAATCTGATAGCTGGCTACGCAGTGAAGGATGCTTGAGCTGGCGGTTAATGATCAAGTACTGGGATTGCAAACATATCATCAAATAGTTATCTAAGGCCAAATTAGCTAAGAAAACACTCCCTCTGCACCTTTGAAGTGTGGACTAATGAAATTTTTAGTAGCCTTTGAAAACTTGCTGTAGTGGATGAAAATGTTTCATATAGCCTAACATGCCAGTGAAGTCAGTGCAGAAAGAGTGGTATGCCTGATTCAAGACATACTTACTACATTCAGAAAATTGCTGGACACTCTCACCTTAATTACTGTAAAACCCCATAGCCAGTTCCCTGAGTTTCTGTAACTTGCACTTCAGGAACTACGAGAGGAACTCGATAACCTAGGTCTGGCCCTTACTGATTAAAAATATCCCTTAAAATAAATGGAGTGGGAACCAGTATCCCAATTTATAGCTCTGTATCTATTACTGTGTCCACAAGGGGGAGCCCATAACCTTCTCTGAAAGGAGCTGAACGTTTCCTGAACACAAGCAGGGAAGATGCAATTTAAATACATTTAAACATCATACAATAATTATTTCGGTGTAAATACTTCTTTTGTCACAAATTAAAGATAGGCATTAATGTTTGAAAATGAGAGTGCATGTGCTATGTCTTCCTTCCTTATCGTAGTTGCACTGAAATATACAGAAAACTCGCAGAAAAGTTGCAATTGTGATAGAAAGAAACGATAAAAAAGCTGATATTAGCAAGAATAAATTAAAACTTAATAATGAAATGGCAGGATTTTCAAGATGCAATGAATAGTATTTGGGTTTTACAAGATTTTAGAGGTATCACTTCAGTCCTGCGAGATACACTGCATGTCTGTATGACAAATAGTAAATCCTCTGTTCAGAAATACCTAGGAATAACTGTCACAGGAACAGCTTATGTTGCAATGAGAAAGTGGCAGGAAGGACTTGTCTACCTCTGAGGCAGGAGAATTTTGGCTCATGAACTGTTGGAGGGCTGAGAAATGAAAATAATATACTGAGGCAGACTAAAATAACGATGTGAGGAAATAAGGAGAGCTCTGGAGGTGCAAGGCAATTCTTCTAGAGTGACTTTACTAGTTCAGATTTTGCAGAGCCCATGACAGATAAAGAACGCTAAAATTTATGTAGAGCCCACGATCGCTCTATAAATGGCATGTTTACACAGTCTTGCAGACAGGGTGGAGGAGTCCCTGAAAATACTAGAAGTTATGGGGAAGTGTATCAGAAGGGTACCAAATCTATGTGTATCTGATGTCTCTGCACTTCCAGTCCTTTCTAAGAACAGGGAGAGGAAACAAGTGCAATGGCAAAATGCAATGTAGAAAAATTTGTTAAGATACTAGAGACAGGGATCGTATTTAAAAGGGATATTCTAGTTCTCCCTGAAATCCTCCAATCACAGGTGGCTCTGAACATGTAGACAACCCGTAAGCATATTTGGAAAAAAGGCAATGATTTAAAAGAATGGCAAGCAGACTCAACTGCTTTTTCTGTCCTAGAAGCAAGAGCCTAGGAAGCACCTAAGTGCTGGGTGCGGATCATAGGATAAGAGAAAAATTTAATTGAATGGAACTCTTTTACTGGCAAGAAATTGCATCTGTCCTTTAGTATGATTACATCAGTTTTCTGCCCATGTCTAGGTTGTAAATTAGTCATGGTCTTAATAGTGACAATCTTAAGGATATTTTCCTGTACATAATGAGCAGATAATGGCTGACAAATTCATATGGATACCCAGAGGTCACACAATAAAACAGAATTGCTCTGCTATTAACATCACCACAAATGTGAAAGAGGTCATGTGTGAATCTCTACTAAACCAGTTGAAAAGTATTTCCAGGATAAAGTTTTTAACATCTTCAGTAGCAGAGCTGACACATTATTGAGCATCTCTCTACAATATGGTGGATGCAAAAGCAACGTAGAATGTAGGTTCAACAGCCAATTACTCTTCTTTAAGAGTAAAATACAACAAAAAAGCTGTTTTGAAGCAAGAACAAAGACTTCAACATCCATCATCCTCAGCTAGAAATATAGCCTTTTAATTATTTTTTAAAGATAATTTTTCTTTTTTGTTTTGCATCTGAATCAGTATTCCTTTCAAAAGCTGAAAACATCTAACATGAAAGTAATACACTTTTTTCAACACTGACTAGACATTTGGGCAAACTGAATCAAGGTTGACTCTTACTCAGAAATCGCAAATCTCAATTTTTTTCATGCCTTGAACACTTTGTATCCTGTAACATTTGTAATCCTTTTGTAATCCTTCTGTAACCTGTTAAGACAGCCAATCATTTCATGATTGAAACACTCACTAAGTAAAATATCTAAGACTTGAAAATCAAAACAAGGGAGGTTACCTGTAAGTAGGAAAAGGAATTGCTCGAGCTCTGCAGTTCATTGAAACTTGTCCATCTGAAGATTCTTCTGGATAGATGGTATCAATGGGTTGCTCTTCAAAAATGGGTCCATAGCCTTTGTTTCCTTCCTCTGAAAAAGTGGTAGTTTGAAATTAATCACTTTTTAATTAGTAGTCAAACTGAAGATAAAATTACATCACACCTTCTATATTCAAAATGCGAAGGCTAAAATATTGAGTCTCCCAAAATCAAGTTCTATATGGATCAACAAAACCAGAGCAGTAAGGATAACAAAAGTGCTGGCCTTCCTTTGCTGACTCTTGCTTCATCCCTGCCTGCTGAGATCTAAACTCAAACTATGTTCCTGTGCCTTCTCCACTATTATTGAATTACCATTATGCCAAATGCGATTGAGGTAATTATGAATTGAAGATATGTCCTTTAAGAATGCAGTAAGACCAACTTCAGAGGCCAACAAATTCTCATCAAACAGGTCCAGATCCAAAACAACTATCCAAATATTAGGTGTTCTGTATTTATATCCTAATTGGATCCAGTGGTTTTTACATACTCAGAATCTTCACTGCACCAGACAAAACCCCCTTACGTTGGAGATCAAAGCTGAGAATTACATTGTTTCAAGAATATACTTCTGTCTTTCTTTTCAAGCTCAGGTATATGCATATGTTAACTTTCTCCCCTCCAAAATAAAGTAAAAAATCCCACATTAAAAATAATTTAAGTTTTTAAAGTCAAGCACTTAAAGGTGAAAAAATGTCAAACAGTTTTGACAACAAACTATTTTTTTTATCTTTACCCTCAATTTGCTGATGCTGCTGTAAAGGTTGCAGGCTCTGCACGTCCATGCTGCGCTCCCTTCTCCTTTATATTTGCTAGGGCTGGAACTAGGTGATCTTTAAGGTTCCTTCCAACCCAAACCATTGTAAGATCTCCAAACATGCAAGACTGCTCTTTTGGGTCTAAGAAAGCAAGACTAGGAGCCATAGTGGAATGCTCTGGGAAAATTCTGCTGAGTAAACCCAGGATGTAACTGGGTTTTTTTCCTGTGAAAATGGCAAATGTGCATTCTAGGTACAGAATGGTACAGTGAGGAGCTAAAATTTTCAGGCAACACAGCTGTCTAATTCTCACGGGTCTCTACTGAGACTGAACTAAGAATATGGACACTTGTAAGCAAACTCATGGGAAAAGCAAACTAGTACATGACTGCTACCAGGGTCACTTTCCAGTCAAGTTTGGAGCCTTGCTCCAAATCCTAGAGATGCCAGAAGTCTGGAAAATGACCTTATAATACAAGGGAAAAAATCCAAACCAAACAATTTTCCCAATCTCTTCAGAGATGGCTGAATCACTTTAGCTTAAAAATTTCCCAAAGCAACAGTTAGGGACAGAAAAATCCTAACATTTTGCAATAGTATCTGTGCTGCCTACAAAATTCACTACGTTTTGTAATGCTACATTTTAAAAACCTTCACAGCTCAAGAGATAAAATGGCAATGCAACATATTCATGTCCTTAAACCTAATTATGATTTTGTACTATCCCCTTAAAAGTCTTGCCTTTGGTTATAAAACATTCTAGACTAAATGAAACAGTTTTTAGAAAACCTAAAAGAGAAGAAATAATCTATCTATATAACTAAAGAATGTAAATTATGACAGTGTTAAAATATCATATACACATAAAACAATCCTTCCACAGATTATCTTTTTCTATTGTTCCTTAATTCCATATTCATAGATAGACACTGGATTACAGCACTAGCAGAAGACTGGTTACAGATAAAAAGTAAGTTCCCTTTCCAGTTCAAGTTTAGGGAAAAAAATCACCTTGTGCCTTGAGGGCAGGAGCAGGTCAAGAAGACACTGTTATGCTACAACATGTATTATTAGACAATATAATTTTAAAGAACTAACTCATGTAATGAGAAGTCTTTCAAAGCAGCAAAGGCAGGCAAGTAAAAAGAAAGGAAGAGCTTTTGAAAAATGTTCTTCTTGCTTTCATATTTTAAAGAACAATGTGATGTAAAAATCTACATATTGCTAGATCAAAAGAAGTACCTTCAGACTGGAAAGGCAAGAATCACGTATTTGCTTGGCGCCTGGCATGACTGAGCCACAAACCTGATAGCACTTTCTGTGCAGTTCTTAAGTATGAATACAGAATACCAACAGCCCCTCGCAGCAAATAACCATATCATATACAGCTGACTCTTTCCACCTTAGGGCTCAAACAATATTATAGACCACTTAGGCATTTAATGGCATGAATTTTTAATGCTGCCAGCACTATTATTCTGAATGAATGTCTGTTTCTCACCCCTATCAAATGTGCTTTAGAATGGCACTTCTGGTACAATCTATTATGAATCTGATTTCAGATGTCTGTCAGAGCAGAAAAAGATATGCAGACTGAATGTCAGGTGTGGCAACTGATAATCCTTTCATTGTCAGACGTAAGCCAAGTGTGCACCAGTGATATGAAACAGCAAGGAGGAGAAATGTGAAGAGAAAGGGTTTTTGAAAAGATTGGTAAGAAAGCTCACGCTTTAAGTGAAGTACCATGTCTGTGTGAGGAAGTTTGGAGAGTGAGAAGGGCAGAGTAAAAGTACAAGGAAAAAGATCAGCTTGTTTTACTTGTGCCTACAAGAAAAGGGGGAGAAATAAGTTGGGAAAGGAAGAAGGAAATGGTTGCATTAGGTAAAGTAAGGATGAGAAGAAAAGCATGTTTCATCTGTTCTGGTTGTGCTTTAAGCTAGAGGGTGGACTACCTGATCTCTCAAACACCATTACTGACCTAATTTCTGTGTACACTTCTTGTGATTTATATTTTGAATTGGAGCAAAGGCTATCACCTAATTCTGACTATTCGAGGCATTCTTCAGTAAATTCTGCAAATAGGGTTCAGACTTCTCAGCAGTGCCAAAATGTATTAGGAAGTCTTCACAAAGGTAAAGAAAATCTCTACACAGCTGACAAGATCATGGATCCTGTATAAG